TTCATTTGAAGGCCATCAGTGACCTTGTCCATTCGAACGAAACCGTCAACAGTTTCCTTTGTTATCATCATTTTGAATTCCTCAGTAACTCCTTCGGCGAAGCCATCAGTAACTCCACAGATAAAACTATCAATAGTTTCTTTAATGAAGCCTTCAGTAGCTTCGCGAACAAAATCTTTCATGAACTCCTAGTCGAGATCTTCAGTAATCTAGACCAAAACAACCTTATTGACGAAGTCCTCAGTGACTTCGATCATGTTGACTTCATTTGGCTCTATATAATGAGCGTCAACAACTTGTAGAGGGTCAGTGTCAACTTTCATCTGGTTCTTGGGCTTCTCCCCGAACTTGAGCCTTCCCTCCAAGATAACATTCTCAACAAGATCCCTGAAAAAAAAGCATTGAGAGGTTTTATGACCCAAGAAATTATGGTATTTACAAAACCCTCTTTTCTTTCTTTGCTCTAAAGGAGGCATTTTAGCACCAGGTGGTACTATCATTTTTCCATCCTTAACTAACAAACCAAAGATTTTGTCACATTTTGTAACGTCGAATGTGTAAGTTTTCTTTGGAAACCTATCATTCTTTTCTGGTTCGACGGAGTTCTTTCTGTTAGAAGGTGCTAAAACCTTGCAAGAATAGGGAGAACCTTGTTTCAATTCAGCGAGATCTACTTCATTCTCATCGAAACTTATAGGCCCATTGTAAGGCCTTTCGCCCTCTTCATTAAATTCGACATAGGTTATTCTCTTATTCTTATTTGCTCTAGACTTTTCTTCTTTCAAGTGTTCTAACTGTCGAACCTTGTCGCCCAACTTGGCCATATCCCTCTGGTATTGAGTATCTAGTTTCTTCCTAATGGAATAATCCAGGCCCCCAGCAGCCATTTCAACTAACTCATGTTCTGGAACTTGTGTGGAACACCTTGCCTTGAGAAGTCGAAACTTATTTAAATAATCGTCTATTAGCTCAGTAAACTTTCGTTTTATACTAGCCAATTCCTTCAAACTGATCTTTGTTTGTCCCATGTAGAACTACTCATGGAACAAACGTTTTAACTGGGTCCAATTATGTATCAAATTTGGAGGTAGGGTTGTGAACCAAGTGAAAGCGTTCTTAGAAAGAGAACTTGGGAAATATTTTACCCTAAGGTTCTCATCATTCAAAATTTCTCCGGCTTCTATCAAATACCTAGCCACATGTTCGACAGTGGACTCAGTATAATTTGGCAGTCGAAGGCCAAAATTTACTCTGTTACGTGCCATTATTCTTTCGACCATGGCAACCAAATTATTATCTGCTACTATGTTGTTACGTAGAACTTGTTGTACAACGTTTTTAGCATTCTGGTTCCTATTTACCAAAACTACCCTTGGTTATTATTCTCTAGGAATTTGTAGTTGATTCCTAGGGGGTTCGACTCTAGGTCATTCGATCATTCCCTGATTGTCTTGATTTTCCTGGGGTATATTTCCTGGATTTTGTTGAATTTGGTTAATGGTGGTATCTTCGTCAAAAACTACCCCTTGGTTCTCTATCATATACTTCCTCGGTGGTTGTCGAAGGGGATTTGGTACACTAAAGAATTCTACAAGGCGCGTCATTTGCGCTGCTAATTGTTGATTAGTTTGGGTAGTATTATGAATAAGAGACTGGAAGATTTCCCATATAGTTTGGGACATCATTTGGACCATTTGAAGGTTACTCTCGTCCATCTGTTGTTTTAAGTATGATGCAGAACTGGTTGTCAAATTTGGCATTTGGGCGGAATACCCTAATCCTAAAGTTTGACTATTTCGACCCATATTTATCCCAAAGCATGATCCCTATAATGGCGAAGTCATTACGGGTTATGTATATAATTGAGGGGTGTTTTGTAAGTTTTACATCATCGAAGTTGGCATTCTATAGGGTGGGTCTCGAGGCAGGGGTATTGCAAATCCAGGAGGAGGGACGCTTCTGAATGCTGAAGCTCTTATTGGTGGTGGAGTCTGTGGAGGACCCCTTGGCCCAATATAAGTCAGAATGGGTTGTGTATGGGCATTCGAATGTGTAGGTATTGAACTTTCCATAGATGATATTGCTTCAGAGACTGGTGCTGAGACTGTTGGTTTTCCTGTCGAAGATCCTATGGGTGGTTTTACCTTGTTACTAAGCGTATCCTGAGGAATATTTGGCTGGTTAGAGTTTGCCGCCATTCTCCTCCTATATCTTCTCCTTGTTCTATCTTCGTTAGTTGTAGCTACTTTACCACTTCTTAATAACATGCAACGAAGTTTTCAAAGAGAAATTTAACCGCAGAACTAATGAATTTTCAAGAATTTTGAAGAAAATTTTATGATCACTTAGCACTGAAATATAAAAAATGGAGTTGAATCAACGTACATTATCACGAACTCATTTCTCTACACGCGAGTACTTTGAGTATATTGAGGAATTTGTACACAATTGAACACACACAATCCTAACACTAAGACTTGCTATTTATACTAATCGAAAATAATTGCCATCAACGACTAGCGAACTAAATCGAGACAAATGGCGTTCTGCATGTCTTTGACTCTTGGAAGCGTTCCACGTGTCTTCTTTGAGAAATGGATAAGAACGAACATTCACTCTCTTATTTGAATTCAAATCTTCTTGTCGAAATGCCTTCAGTAGCACTTTTGTCGAATCACATTTCCCAATTGTTAGAAAATATTTCTAAGCCCATAAAATAGTTTCTCCTTGCAAAGGGACGCCTTCAACTCACACTCCAAAAATGTAGTTTTGGTCGAAGTCATCCGATTTCTTCAGAAACTCTATTACTTCCTTTTAATCCAATCCAGACGTCAAAATTTAGAGCCAACAGCAGGTGACAAGGATGATTATATTTCCACCAATGGTTACTTGTTATATCTCGACAACACTCCCATCTCTTGGAGCTCATGTAAACAATGATCTGTTGCTCGATCGTCTGCAAAAACAAAATATAAAGCTTTGGCTGACACAACCAGTGAGCTTCTATGGGTTATCTCCCTATTCACCGAACTTGGTCACACTCCAACAGACAATCCAGTTATATATTGTGACAATCTCAGTGCCACAAATCTTACTGCTAATCTTGTATTCCACTCTCGGATGAAACATATAGCCTTAGCCTATCACTTAGTCGCGAAAATGTTCAACATGGCAAGTTTCAAGTGTCTTTTGTTTTTACTGACGACCAACTTGCTGACATTCTAACAAAACCCTTGCTTCGTCCTCGGTTCGAGTCTTTACTGTCTAAGTTGCATCTATCTTTCAGATTATACAACTTGCAGGAGGATATCAATAATAATTAGAGTTTTAATTATTTTAATTATTCATATTTATAAATTAGTGGTTGACTTATTATTCAATAGCAACTTAATTAGAGAAAAGTTTGTTAGCTTGGTTCATTCTACAATTAAGCGTGGTAACCTGTATATATACACAACTCAAACTAATAGCAATTATTAATTTCATTTACAATTCATCTCTCTATTGATAGAAGACAAACAATTCGAAAAAGAGAGACTCATCAAAATTATAAGAGAATTATTAAATAATATTTTAAAATTAATAATTTGAATAAAAATATCAACTTTGTTAAAATATTATGACAAAAATTAATTATGTATATGATTCTAATCGATAGAAAAAGGTTAAGTGGTTGTTGTACACATATCTTCATAACAAAAAAGGCACACATTTCTTTTCATAGTGGTAGCAATTGAGGTCTCAAAAATAGTTCTAAAATAGTATATTAAACTACTTAATTCATTATTTAGAACAACCCTGCCAAACAAAATCATTAAGCTCCCTTCAACATACAAACTCTTTACAGAATTCGAACTACTAATATTGTAGTTTGATTTTATTAAGGATAACATATACTACTCCTATTTTAAAAATTACTTACTCCTTTTATTATGACCGACTAATTGTAAAATATATGTGTGATTCGATGCAATATGTTATATTGAAGGTGCATTTTCTATGGTCTTAAAAAAACCACATAAGAAAATACTTTAATTTTGAAGTATAAATATAAACATCTAATTAATTTCATTAATTTTAAAAAAATACGTACAAGTACAACTAGGGTAACAATACAAAGAATTCAATTTTTTCTGAGATAAGAAGATATGTACAACTAGTACAAGTATCTGATAGCATTGACGTAAAAACTAGAAGAGTAATTAAAGCGTGGGAATGAATCTGATATGTTGTTCGCCGAAGTAACTGCTGCCGTAAATGCATTCCATTAACCCAAACACACATTTACTTTAATGCCAAAAAAAATTAAAAATTAAAACAATGAGTTATGACCGAGATAGTCCTAATAATAATAAATGATGCTTAAAACTCAAAAGGGTTCCGTTGCCGATGGCGGGTTCGCAACTTGCACAATTCTCTGAGAATCTCCATCAATTTTCTGTCGCAAAACAACACCAACATCACCGATCTCTATGTCAATTTTCCTCATTTTTTAATCACCAATCTCTATGCATTTCTTTTCTTAATTCTCAATTCCAAATCAAATCTCTCTCACACTCACTCACTCTCTGAACTCTGAACTGAACCCTTGGCTCTTTCTCTTCTGAATTCTTCTCATTCATTATTCCCCAATCGATTCCATTGCATGATCGATCTATAATCTATAATCTAAAATCTACCACCGTCCATAATCAACGGCCAGATTTCACTTTCTTGTTTTTCCTCATTTCACTAATTCTCACGCGTCTTCCTTCATCCCAAAAACACAGACTACTTTATTTGACAAAAATTAGAATGCAGCAGCACCAGAATACAGAAAGCACATTTTCCCATATTTCACTTTTATCATTATTCCACTATTACCCTCGTTGAAATATCATTATTCCGTTCCTCATTCATTATGCTTCGTTTTCCGGTGCAACCACCGTCCTCATAACCATGACCCACCGTAAACCACACTTCTTCAACAACACCATTTGCGATCTCGTTGGTAGAAAAACATGGGCTGCGGGGGCTCCAAGGTGGAGGAGTTCCCCGTGGTGACTCTTTGCCGAGAAAGAAAACAGTTTCTCAAAAACGCCTCCGATCAACGCTACGCTCTCGCCGTCGCGCACGTCGCTTATATGCAATCGCTTAAAGATATCGGCGAAGCTCTTCGGAAATTCTCCGATCGGGATCTCTTTCTTCCGACAAGTTCTACTTCTTCTTCATCTTCGTTTTCTTCCCCTGTTCTCACATTGCCTTCACGTGAAGGAAAATCAAAAGATGGTAGTAGCCACCGCCACATTTCCTCTTCTTCACCTTCTCACGATGGTGATGATTCTCACTTGCATCTTTCTTCTGGATCGGAGGTGAGTTCTCCTTCTCCAGATCACATTCATCATCATCGAACACCCGAGCCTCAATACGAACCAGAACCCGAACCCGAACCTGAACCAGAGCAACCTTCATCTTCAAACGGGTATAATTATCCATTTCCGTATCCGTATCCATATCCGTATCAACAAGATTGGACTCAAACTCAACCAGGGGTTAATAATTATGCATATTATATGAAGAAATCTGCACCTCGTGGAAAATCTATGATCTATCGAGAACCAGAGAATCGTGTGGCAGAATCTGGACAATGGACCGGTTCTCCTTACGGTTATGGTTATGCTGGTATGAATGGGAATGCTGCTGGTTATTATGGTTTTCCTGCGGGGCCTTTGTCTTCTCCGACTCCACCTCCTCCGCCTCCTGCTCCACCTTCGCCGCCAAGAGTCTCCACTTGGGATTTTCTGAATTTTTTTGAGGCTGTTGATAATGGTTATTCAGGTTATGGAAATTACAGATCAGGGTTAGGGTTAGCGTCTAGTGCGAGTAGTCCTGATTCGAAAGAGGTGAGGGAGAGGGAAGGGATTCCTGAACTAGAAGATGAAACTGAACAGGAAATGGTGAAGGAGGATAGTTACGAGAAGAAGAAAAAAGTGGCAGAGAAAGAGGAAAAGGAAGAGGTTGATAAAGGTAGAGATTTTGGTGAAGGTACTTCGAATTCGAAGGAAGTGCCATTGCAACAGGTGAGTAGTAGTGAGGGAAGTTCCAAAACGGTGCGGTTTCATATTAGCGAAAGTAGTGGTGATTCAAGTTCTTCTCATGAAAAAAAGAGTCCTGATAGTGTTGTTTCTAAAGGGTCTCCTAGAAAGAAGGGTGTGAGTTTTGAGATTGAGGGTGATGAAGCTGCAACGGTCACCACTGTGGAGATTGAGGGCGAGGGTTCTATTTTGAGTAGTTTAACCGCTTTGTCTCCACATGGAACTAGGGATCTTAAAGAGGTTGTTAGAGAAATTAGAGATGAGTTTGAGACTGCTTCTAGTCATGGAAAAGAAGTTGCGTTTCTTCTTGAGGCTTGCAAACCACCTTATCAGTCGAGGGTTGCTGCATTTAGAGGTATCAATGCTTTTATCCTTTGAGTTGTTTTGGGTTTTGATTTCATTGTGGTACTTATAAATTGCGCAAGAATAAGCATGAGTTATGCATGTTATGGACAATGGTTTTTTGTACTATGTGAGGGTTTATTGCTTACAATTTTCATCAATAGGCTCATCAAGTAGGAGAGTGTTTAATGTCTTGCTATGTGTTTTATGCAGTTATCTTATCAAGGATCTTGCAGATGCTAGCACCTTCTGGGCCACCTTCGCATCCTCCATCGGGACCACCGATACATTTTTCTTCTAGAACACTGAAATTGGCAAAAGCATACTGTGGAGAACCTGAGAAAGAGTTAATATCAAATCCGGTCAACCTTTCATCTACATTGGAGAAACTTTATGCATGGGAAAAGAAATTGTACAAGGAAGTTAAGGTGTGGAATGACTACTTTGGAATTAGTTAAATGTTTGGATTATTTAGCTGACATTGCTCATGAAATTTGAAATGGTTAGAGCTATTGATAATTTGATATCCATCTAAAACTGAATTGCTATGTATCCTTCGTTTAGGAGATGGAGGCTTCTAATATTCTTATTATGTAGTTTCCCCTTCAGACAATTTTGTTGTTGGAGAGGAGAATTTGAATTTTCACAGTTCAATAACTTGTACTGTTTGATGACCAATATGTCCTACATAATCAGCATTATTTCCTATGAAAAACTGCTTCTATTAATAAACGACTTTAGTAAATACTGTATTGTTCTTTCAAAATGTGCTTATTTGTTTACTTACAATGTTCTCAGGATGAAGAGAGGTTAAGAGCCATTTACGAGAAACAGTGCAAGAGACTGAAAGCATTGGATGATCGAGGAGCTGAATCTACTAAAATAGATGCTACCGAGACATCAATAAGAAAGTTGCTAACAAAAATAAACATTTGCATCAGAAGTGTTGAAAAAATATCAGCCAGGATACACAAATTGAGGGACGAGGAATTGGAGCCTCAGCTTGCGGCATTAATAACCGGGTATCAAATTGCTTCACTTATTTTCTATGTTAATAATCCTCTCATGTGCATCGGAGTTTCTGATACATGTTTAAAATTCTGATAAGAAAATATAGTAAAAAGCCTTTTTTTATTTTTTTTTTATTTTTTTTTAATATTATGTTGTTCATAAGTTCATAAGTGTAATGAAATATATTGTTTGTCAGCAGATTGATAAGAATGTGGAAATTCATGTTCCAGTGCCACCAGAAGCAGTTCCAGGCTATCATGGAGAGTAAAACTCAATCTCTCAAGTTAAACACAGGTTTGCAAAGAGATGAAGGCTTGAAAGCCATTATGGAACTCGAAAGGCAGCTTCTGAAGTGGTGCACTCAGTTCAACAATTGGGTTGGGACCCAAAAATCTTATGTTGAAAACTTGAATGGGTGGCTCATAAGGTGCCTTCATGATGAACCTGAAGAAACAGCCGATGGTGTTGTCCCTTTCTCTCCAAGTAGGATAGGAGCTCCACCAGCTTTCATAATCTGCAACGATTGGCAGCAAGCAATGAATAGAATTTCAGAAAAAGAGGTGGCGGAAGCTATGGGTGAGTTTGCTCAAAAACTGCACGAGCTATGGGAGAGGCAAGATGAGGAACAAAGGAGGAAAATCAAGGCGGAGTACCTCACAGAGGATTTTGAAAAACAACTTAAAGCTTTGCGCACTGAAATGGGAAGCTCCAAACAGAAGCATTGCGAAATTTCAGGAAAGACTAAATTGTCGAAGTTCACTTCTGATAGTGGTGTTTCACCACTGGATGATCTAAAGGTGGATTTAGATTCTATGAAGAAGAGATTGCATGAAGAGAGGGCTAGACATAAAGAAGCCATTAGGCTTGTCCGCGATGCAGCTTCGAATAGTTTACAAACAGGTTTGATTCCCATTTTTAAGACATTAGAAAGTTTCACGTCAGAGGTGGTGAAAGCTCATGAGCAAGTCAGACTACAAAACACCGTGGCCTCATAGTAGTGTGTGTGGATTGATTGGGGGAGTTTGGAGAGAACATGGAAGATTTAGAACTAACTACCAATTTTGCAGCTAGAGTTAATCTTGTTGATGTAGGAAAGAACCTCTTAAAACTCCCTGAAGAGGTTTTGGATTAGATTATAAGTTTCAACAACTAGGGCTTTGGGTGTATAAATGTCAGGACATGGTTATCTTGAATTCAGACCTGTAACACCCGATCTACAGTTAGGTGAAATTTTGTACAGAATAATTCATTTATTGGTTGATTGGTCGTAGGTGATTGTATATATATGCTGTTTAATATGCCTAGGAGTAGAATCTTAGCAGGAGGAAGCAAGAGATTCTAATGGAAGTTAAAAAATGATGTAGTGAATTGAAATATGATTTACTTTCCTGCAGTTTTGATTTCTTTTCAATATTTGCTTCTTTTTCCTGATCCTACTCATCGCTATTGACCAACTTTTGTTGCTATCCTTCACTATTGCGGATACATATTGTGCTTGTAAGTTTATTCCAAGAAATTTTGCCACTACAACAATTAGGCATGCTATATAAAAACCGTTTTATTAAGATCAGTTTTTTTAAATTTCACAGTTCAGAGCTTTGCTCTGTATGGACTGTTCCAACATAAAGATTATTAGAACTTAATAACATTCGAACTTGAGATTTTGAGAGGAACACACTCTCAAGATCCAAGTCTCTACCAGTAAACCAATTCTTGAGTTTTTAATTCTGTTTTGATTGATTAGTTTCATTTGATTTAATTTTTTTATCGAATGGTTCTTTTCTTTGATTGTTACTGCTCTTTTTATCAATTCTTTTGTTTGGTTGATATGCTCTCTCTATTAATTCTCTATTAATTGTTTTGTTTTATTGTTTCTCTTTTTATTGGTTTTTATTTTTGGTTGCTCGCGTCTCTATTGACTCTTTTGTGTAATAGTTTAGTTTTTCTATATAAGTTCTTCGGTTTAATTGTTTATCTTTTTGTTTTTCTTGGTTTGGTTTAAAATTATTTGATAATTGTTTTTTTATTTGTTAAATTGCTTTTACCCTGTAGTTCAGTTGGTAGAATGTTGTATTTTTTAAGCTCTTAAAAAACGATTTTATGATACAGTTGCTCTTTCTTCATTCCCTTCATTAAACTATACTAAAATATATTTGGTGTTTGTGGCGACGAAAAGGGATATGTATTCATGAATAAATAATGTCTAAACCTTTATTGAGTGTAGAATACTCATACAAGTTAGTACTATCGTTAGTTTATGATTAGATTTCAATTGACTAGTAAGTAGGGCATGATTGTGTCTTCTTTCTTTCATAAACAAGACGTGAAACATGGAATCTGGAACGAGAAAAGAAAAACACAATTTGTGTTGGATGCGTTTGCCCCTTTATGAATTGTATAATCATGGTGGGATGGATCAACATGTGCACTCAAATAGAAATCAGGGGATAGTTATGTAACATGTGTAATATGTTTAATTAGTTGTAAGATTAACTATTTGACATTCGGGAATTACAAATTAAAAACCATGCTATAAAGATTAAAAAAAAAACATTCATTTCAAAAAACGTAACTGTAAAAGAATGGTTGTAATCAGAGTACCCTTTTTTATATGAGAATATGTAAAAGGAGTGCAAGCCAATATTTGTAAGTTGTTAGTTAGGTTCAGTGTCAAAATTTCATGCCACAAAATAGTTACAAATAAGTAAGCTAAGTCTAAATGGTTTGTAAGAAAATCATTTCTATTCTTAGACATTTATCAGAAATGAAACCGTTAAAGTACTTAAAAATTGTAGTGTCAAAATAAATATACTTTCAGCATACAGAGCCAATAAAAGAGTAACAAATATTAATTCAAGGTGCTAGAAGTGAGCATTATGTGCATACAAAGGAGTTCTATAAAATCTTTGTTTCACGGTTTAAAAATCAGCCACAAAAGAAATTATCGGTCAAGTTATGGATGAGGTCATTCTCTTTAATACGTTTTGTAGTACTGTTTAAAATTGTGCAAAGCGTCGAACTACGATGTCGTCTCTAGGATAATAGAACTCAGTCCTCATTGGGTAGAGTCTTGCTTGACCGTTTCTTTTCAGTTATTTCCTTAATTGCATTTTGGTCCCTGAAAATCATCGTTTCAAATCTCTCTAAGCTGTTGAGCCTAGATTGAGCATGCATTTATTTTGCATTGTGTATCCCTTGGAAGAATTTGTTTGAAGATCACCATTGAAGATAAAGTCCACTTTCCAACAGTGTTGTTATAACATTTTCTTAGAACTTATACCCAGACAACAAGTGACAGTCTCTTTAGTTGAGCAACTTGTTTTGCTCTTAGATTTTTTATTTGGATGGCAAATGACAGTCTCCTTAAGACAATTTGTCTATCCCTAGCAATTATCAAGATTAATAATTGTTCTTCTATCAAATGGCATCCCTCCGAAAATTCGTCAAAGAAGTTTGGTGAAGACTTTATAAGTATTTCTCTCTATTTGAGAATTCCTGTGACAAGGATTTTATTTGCTCCAATGCAATTTCAAATTACAGTAATATTTCTCCTCAATGATGTTTTCCGCGGTGAGCCCACTATTCAATTTTCTTCCATCAAATAGTATCACTCCGAGAAGTTTGATGAAAATTCTAAGAGATGATATTTCTTTTTATTTGAGAAGACATGTTTTACAAATCAACCGGCATGCATCTCTTTTAAAGATCCCCGGTGAAGTTTCCTAATCTCCAGTAAGTTATGGATTTCCGTTGAAGTCTTGAATCTCCAGTGAAATTCTAATCCTATGTGAAGATACTCTCCCATAAGTATTCACCATTCTAGGAAGAAACTGAGACCCGTTTGTGGCCTTTGACCCAAGGCGTGAGGAGGTTTGTTATTTTCTCTTTCAAGTGAAAGACATTGACCAAAGAAGAAACTGAGATCCGATCGTGGCTTGTGACACGAGGCGAGGGGAGGTTTACTTTACCCTTTTCAAACGAAGGACCATGATTAAAGAAGAAACTGAGACTCGTTTATGGCTTATGACCCAAAGCGTGCAAAGGTTTATATGTTGCCCTTTTCAAGTGGAATACTTAATTAAAGAAGAAAATGAGACCTGTTCGTGGCTTGTGATACGAGGATAGGGGAGGTTTATTATCCTTTTAAATAAATCGTTTGATTATTTGAAGGTGGCTCTATTTCAAATTCTTTGGTTAATCTCGGTAGTAGATTCTGCGATTAAATTTAAAATAGAATTTTCAACAAAACCTCGGTAGCAGGTATTCTCTTTTATTTCCTGGTAAGTCTCGGAAGAAGATTTCTAGTAGGCCTTGGCAGAAGGTGTTCTCTTTTATTTCCTGGTAAGTCTCGGTAGAAGATTTCAAGTAGACCTGGTAGAAGGTATTTTCTTTTATTTCCTAGCAAGTCTCGGCAGAAGATTTCCGGTAGACCTCGACAGAAGGTGTTTCATTTTCTTTTCCTGGCAAGTCTTGGCAGAAGATTTCCAGTAGACCTCGGCAGAAGGTATTTTCTTTTATTTTTTGGCAAGTCTCGGTAGAAGATTTTTGGTAGACCTCGGCAGAAGGTGTTTCATTTTCTTTTCCTGGCAAGTCTCATCAGAAGATTTCTAGTAGACCTTGGTAGAAGATATTTGGTTTGTAAATTCTCTGGTTAATATCGGTCGTAGATCTCGAGCAGATTTCAACAAAAGATGTTTCTCTGTTCCCAAGAACTCGGCAATAGATTCTCTGGTTAACTTTGATGCTTCTTTAAACTTCAACAGATGGTTGTTTCTTTTCAGAATCTCGGCAGTAGATTTCTTGGTTAATCTCGACAGCTGATTCCTCAGTAAAATTTTGATAGTTGACACATTTTTCAATAAAACCTTGGCAAAAGGTATTCCCAAATGAGGTCCTAAGTCTCGACAATAGACTCCTCCAGTTGATATCTCTTGAAGTCCTCACAGTTAACCTCGATAGTAGGTTCTCCAAGTGGATTTTTGTTAAAATATTTTGTCACAGGTTTATCACCCTATGTTTAAACTATCTTGTGATTGATAGTTGGTAGTCTCTTCCCCATTAGAGTTGAGTCTCTTCTGCAGTGGAGTTGAATCTTTTCCCTATGGAGTCTTGCTTTTTTTGTTAAGTATCACCTTTCATCACGGTTGGTAATAAAAATTATGGTGATATACATGGTCAACACATTTTTATCTCGATAAATGACTAATTGTTGGTGTTGGGATTCAAACCATTTCACTTGGTGTACCTTTCACTACGGTTGCTTCATTTGACCGTTGTGACATGTCCTTTGTTAAATACCAAAAAAAGTGCCCAAAAATAAACAATCATCATGGTTAACACTATGACTGTTGTAAAATTGGTGTTACGAAAGGTGATCGCGACTTTCTATGTCTAATACAACCTAACTGCAAGTGCACAGTCTATCGCGTAGTAATAATAGATATCGATCCCACAGGGACTCGTAATCAAACTAGTGTTCTCGGGAGTTACTATGTTTAGCTAGGTAGAATATGTTTAAGGGAATAAGATTGTCACTAAAAGGGAACTAAGAATACTATTTAGATTATAAATGATTGAATCGATATATAGTAATTGTGTTCTTCAGGGATTTGATAAGTTACTGGTGTATGAAATAATTTTCAAAGTTTATTTAAGCAGAAAATGGTGATTTGAAGACTCTCGCCTCACAATGGTTATTGACGCTAATCATAATCCTAAGGGCCAAACGTACACTTTCGTATCCCGTTCGGGGTTAAAATTACTTTTTGGAAATCTCTAAGTTCTAATTCATTTTAAAGTGCTTTCGTTGTTATTAAAATGAATGACTAGTGTTTACTATCTGACCTTACCGCAGCTTTCGCTTGTTGGTCCGTATCTTAATTAATTTCCCACTTTCGTGGCAAAACTACTTTTAAATAAGTTCTCGCTTTCGCGACGAAGTTTATTCAGTAAATCAATTTTAAACACTCAGACCATAAGTTACTTTTGAAAAGAA